GGGACTGTAAGTGGCGCTGTAACTTCCGCCAAAATACACCAAAAGCAGCGAAGAAGAGCAGCCTGAGCAGCCCCGCAGCAATGTTGCCATGGCTACCCTTCTGTTTATGCCCCGCGGTGTATTTAGCAACATGTAGTTCATGTAATTCTCCATGTCCACTTGTTGCTGATGGTTGTGGTAGAGGAGCTGTAGATTTTGCACTAATATCTGTAGCATGGTCAGTAGCAGTAGCACTAGCAGTAGCTACTGACAGGAGGAAGTGTGTGGCGATTGCTGGTATTCAGCGGGATATAGTCATTTCCTCAGTATATGGATAAATGCAACGGGGAAGTTAACTGAAAGAAACCGAATCTGTGGATATTGCATCGACCGACCAAGAAGCACGTCTCTGTGGAGAGGACGGCTCAGAAAGAGAGATATTCTCTACAAACACCGGGTGAGATGCACCTTTGTCAATATAATGGATCAATGCATGAAATCTGACTCTGTTTATTTTGTTTAAGGAGTATATTGGGCGTTAACAATTCTGGTTTGCCTTTTATAATATTATTTCATTCAAGAACCCCTTGTGCGTTTAATTAACACAGCTATTTTTGATAGTTGCTTCAGCAGTGAGCAGGAGAGGTGGGGCTATCGCTATTTTTTCAGGAAATATTCGTATAGAGGTGATTACACGGACTCGGTTGACCCCCCAGAGAGTTTCGTTTGCAAATCTATCCACCTTGGGACCCGTTATCGTTTGTGGGGTCAGTTTCTATCGGCCTCGTGTAAATAATAGGGCTATACGCACGCGAAACTATGCAGATACAAGCAGTTTTGTCCTCGTGTAAAGGGCGCCTAAGTCCCTGGGGGAGGATTAGGCAAATGAAGCCGCTGACGTCACTTCTTCTTCTTCTGCTTTGGGTTTACTGGCAGGCCGCAAACAACTTCACAGCGTATACTGCCACCCGAAGTCCCCGGCCGGAAGTCCCCGGGGTTGGAGCCTTCCGAGTAAATCGCCAGAACGCCGACACCTCCTCATCTCCACCGCTCCCATGTTTTCTTTTGTGTTGCCATAAGTTAGTCTCTCTGCGTTTGTGCGCTGGGCTAATGCTAATTATGCTAATGCAAGGATAATAAAATGGCGGCTTCACAAAACGTTTTTACGGGGCGTGGTTTGCGATCCGCCCAGCCAATCAGAAATAGGAATCTTTTTCTCCCACGAAAGTCCCTGCTCTCTAGCAGGGATGGAAAAGGGGGGAAAAAGGTTCTCATTAACTAATTTTAGTTCGGAATCTTTTTGGTTTGAACGCAACATTTCGGAACTATAGTGGGAAAAGTACTGCGGTGTGAAAGCGCCTATTCATACAGAGCAGTGTACCTTACTCTAGGAACTAACATTCATACACCGTTGGCCATGCCATCGGGAGCAACTCAGGGTTAAGTATCTTGCCCAAGGATACATCGACATGGGCTGGGATCGAACCCACAACCTTCTGGTTGAAAGACGACCGCACTCCTGTGTACATTATCCAGAGTAACAGGGGAATAGTTTTTCTGGATAAACAGTTTTCAATGCTGTAAACACTGCAGATACATTTTAATCAGAGAAAAGGCTGATAGCTCAAATCCTTGACAAAAGACAACAACATGCACGGCGAGATACCCTGGAGATAAGAGGAAAAACATCCTGACCCTTTACATGAACAAACAAAATGAAAGATTATATTTTTTTCAGAAGCTCAGACCAGACGCATGACAGATAACTGATATCACATCAGATGTTAAGAAACAAATCTAAAATATGACAACAATGTTCCCACAGATGATAACTCAAGGACAACAAAATAAACACAAACAAACAAAGGTCAGCAGTAAGCCGTTAGCATGCGTTAGCTCATGGAGCGTAAACAACCAAGCTCCTTCCCACACACACACACACACACACACACACACACACACACACACACACACACACACACACACACACACACACACACACACACACACACACACACACACACACACACACACACACACACACACACACACACACACACACACACACACACACACACACACACACACACACACACACACACACACACACACACACACACACACACACACACACACACACACACACACACACACACACACACACACACACACGGAGATTGAAGTGGAAGTGATGGAAATTGGTTGTTAAATGTTCTCTTGTGATCTCTCTTTCCTGCTTTTGTACACAAACGGTTTTGCAACAAGTGTGTGAGTGAGTTCTTGAGTTTCAAAAACACAGGACCAATGTATTTCTTCACTAGGAGTGACTTTAACAAGAACAGTCCATATACAGTCTTAGAAATCATAATAATGTAAACAAGCGCCTCTCGTCCATGTCTGTTCAAAGTTGAGCTTGACATTAAACGGCTTGCCCCCAGAATCACCTGTTGACAAAACAATGTTAGCTCAGTGTTTCCAAGACAATGTGATATGCCCTTGAAGAAATTATGGAGTATTGCAACATTTATTTTGTCATTTAGAAAGTCTGCACTCTAATTTAGATATATTGCTGGATTCGGCTCACAACACAAAGAAACCATACCCCAAAACAAAGACCAGAACTATAGCAAGATATATTATATATATATAGTATAGTCTTAGATTTCCTCATTATATTTATATATCACTTACTTTTTATGATGCTATTTATTGTTGTTCCATGTATGTGTACTTATTGGATTTTCTTTTATGAACGTGTGTTTGCATCTTTATTTAAAGGTGGGGTAGGTAATTTTGGAGAAACCAGCTCGAGTGCGCTAGAATTTGAAAATACACAGCCCTTTCCTTACAGAGCCCCTCCTCCAACACACACGAACGCGCACATGACCAATGAGGGCACGAGATAAGTTTGTGCACAGATGGAAGGCTGACAGGCAGGTAGGCCATCCAGTTATTTTAGCCGGGCCGACTCAGATGATTGGTCGTGCTTTTTACAGCGCCACGGCTTCCACAGATGAAATGTTTTTATGGATTTTTTGTCAAAGCACTTAAGATATTCATTGCTATCGGGATGTTAAGAGCATTCCATGGAATATAACAAAAAGTGTATCTCGAGCCGGTTTCTCAAACTTACCTACCCCACCTTTAATATGATACTACTCTACCGATCTTATTTTTTCCTTTTACTATAATGTCTGTTCCTGCTGTGGGACCAATACAGGATTATAACTTTTCGATTATGTAAGTTTGATGCATATTCAGACACATAATTCAATGAAGATATTGAAGAATGAAGAGCATAACAGCGTAGGAAACTACTGGACACGTATATTAGCTTCTCGTCTAGTATTGGATCTTCTACTGGAAGAATCAAAGTAAGGATCTCTCAAGTAAAGGAAGTAATATGTGTGTGTGCTCTTTGATAAAAAGGACTGTGATGATGAACTAAACAGACATAGAAACAGGAGGATGACTGAATACATGTATTTAGATATTTCGTGTGAAACTGTTTGTTTTTGTACTTTACCCTTGAATGCATCTTGTGTCTTGAAACCTTTCTCTAGTCTTCTCTTGGTAGTGGGTGAACTGGAGGAGGCCACAGTACTTTATGTCACGAGGAGATAGAAAAGGATGCAGGAGGAGAAACCAGTAAAGCCAGAGAGGAAGTGCAGGATGTGGTGTGGAGAGCAGACAGCAGCCAGCGGAGAGCTCCCTCTTTGTGTGGCTGTTTTACTGCTTCCTCCCGACCGGACCGCATCGCTCACCACATCTCCACCGCTGGAGAAACATCAACAGCTCCAGTCTCCACGCCGGGCGACAGAAGCCAAAACATTTCACAGTCAGCGGCGGAGACGAGAGGCTCTTTGACACGTGTCACAGGAACTACATTTACCAAATAACACATGAGAGGTACAGGGCTGTGAGGAAGCACTGTACAGAGGGACAGATGAGAAGTAAGGGGAGATCAAAGTGTAACATTAAGGGTCACATGTGAGTTAAGAGCTCAAAATGATTAGATCGTAGGGTTAGTGTTGCTTTCTTTGCCATTTATGAGGCACTAAGTCACGTTACGATCAAAGAACACGTGATTTGATAAAGAGAATTCATAAGATATACAGTACACTAACTGTTTACATTTTTACATAATGCTATCATTTAGAAATATTAGATTTAGGCTGTCAAAACTCAACTCATGACTAACTAATGAATGTGTCAAATTCCACTGTGCTCAAAAATAAAGGGGCAGATTGTAGATTTAATAGACAGTTACCTTCTTCGTGATATATTCAAAATAAGAAACTGAATGTGTGTAAGGCCTTTGTCTTGACCGAGATAAAGACATTACTACAAACTTTAGTGCAATATAGTTCTTCATTTATTCATATAAATTATATTTGAGGCAATATGCAGCACATTATAAAACTACCAAAATAAGTTGCAAACAGACAAAACGGCAGGAGCCATCAACTGCTAAAACATGTGCTAATACACACACACACAGAGGTCATCGAGCACACAAGCACCGTCTGTTTTCATAGCTGCAGCTGTCCTGATTGGACCTAACATCCATATCAAAAACCAAAAACATGCACACGTACACACACATACAAACACACCAACATACAAAAACACACACGGAATGTCCCGGCCAGACTATGCTTGGCTGTGCAGCTGGATATCCTTAAGAGGTGTAGAAAGACATGAAGAGAATATCCTGGTAACACACACACACACACACACACACACACACACACACACACACACACACACACACACACACACACACACACACACACACACACACACACACACACACACACACACACACACACACACACACACACACACACACACACACACACACACACACACACACACACACACACACACACACACACCACACACACACACACACACACACACACACACACACACACACACACACACACACACACACACACACACACACACACACACACACACACACACACACACACACACACACACACACACACACACACACACACACACACACACACACACACACACACACACACACACACATCCTGATTAACCCTCTGACCCCTGAGATGAGAGACCACCAAGGTCGACATTTAGACACACAGACAGACAGACATACACAAACCCATGTCCAGCAGTCTTGGGGTGAAGCAGTTCAACTCATTGCGCACGTGTGTGTGTGTGTGTGTTGTGTGTGTTGCAGTGTGTGTGTGTGTGTTGCTGTGTGTGTGTGTGTGTGTGTGTGTTGCAGTGTGTGTGTGTGTGTGTGTGTGTGGCAGGGCGAGGTTGTCCTCAGGTGAAATGGACAGGTGATCCGTCCGTCTCCTGGCTCCTCCTCCTCTCTCCTGATTGGACGTCCTTCAGGATCTGGGACTGGTTGAGGAGACACTCCTTCAGCTTGTCCTCCGTCAGCGTGAGACGCTCCTCCAGCACCGACACCGTCTTTGTGTTTGAGGAGGTGGAGGTGGGAGAGGGGGAGAATCATTAGAAATCACTCATTTTGAAAATATCACATAAGAGCTAAGAGAGACAGACGAGGATTGAGTTCTTGTTTCCTTCAAAAGAGCAGCATTTTGGCCTTGATGCTGAACAAAGACATTCACCAGCCTGTACAGTTCATCACGTTACTTTTTTTAGCTGAATGGAAGAACTGTAAATGCACCAATTTTTAACTCTTGAATTGTTGTCTGCCAATTCCTCCCAAATAGAGGATACATCTAGACGTAATAATTAGTAGACGTGCATTTTCTGGAGGGGATATTTATGAGAAAACGCACAGCAAACTCATGATGTATACATCCTGATCTGATGACTTTTTAATCATACAAGTTGATAAATACATCAAATGAAATGAGAAGATATTAAAATAGTACAACTTTTTTTGGGTATAAACGGTGAAACTCATTGCCCAAAAAGTTGTCACACTTGGTAAACAACATACTTTGCATTGTTTGCTTATGCACCAGCCCCAAAACCCCAAAACGAATACAAAATAAGAAAGAAATATGAAATTAAATAAATTCGTCAAAGAAATCGTCCAGTCTCAAACCGCTTCAGAAAGATGAAACATTAGCTTTCTTTGTCTGTTTATCTACTAGTGCCGCCTGCTCAAAGGTGCGGAGGGGAGGAGGTAAACCATTAAACCCACTGCTGGTGACTAATGGCGCATTTCCACTACTCGCTTTAAGCGTGCCGAGCCGTGCGGGGCCCGTTTTTGGTTGCGTTTCTGGTTGCGTTTCTACTTGGCGTAGTACCGGCTAGCGGGTACTATTTCACAGTTTTTCTGGCCCCATAAAATCGAGCTTCTTTCCGGGCCAACCACCAGGCTGAGTCGGGCTGAGTATGCTAAACTAGAGAGAGAATCGCTGGCAAGGGGGCAACAACTACAACAAGATGAACATATTTGACCGTGATTTAATTGTAGTACACGTTTCAAAATGATGCCGAAGTAACAACATACTGATACCGGTTAGTAAAAACCATGAATTAATGCTTTGACAAGTCTGCAGACAGACGGCAGGCAAAAAACCTTTTAAAATGCGTGTTTTCTAAATGGAGATTGGCTAAGCTAACGCAGTATATGCTCCGACCGTCCACACTCACAACAACGGCCTATACAGACATAAATAAAGCAGCGACTGTATTCGCCATGACACAGGCAGTCTGTGGTTTGTACTTGTTTAACTTTTGTCTAGTTTCTGAACTGATATGAGGAGCTGTGAGCTCTGAGGGCTAACAGCTCATGGCCGATGTTGGTTTTGTGTTTCGCATTGAAGGTGACGTCACGGCTCCGCCTACACTGCGTTACTATAGTTACTGCCCCAGCTACTAAACTGTAATGGAAACGCAGCATAAAGTGAGCCTGGCCTAACAAGGCCTAACGAGGCCTAGCCATACCGAGCGAGGCCGTGCGAGGCCCTGTAGTGGAAATGCGCCATTAGTGTACTTTTTTCATGGTGTCTTTATTTGACTTGGCCTCAAATGGAAAAATGGAAGTTTCGCAGAGGAGATTAATAACCCTAACCCTAACCCTGCATCTACCTTTCCTATTAAGAGAAAAACAACAGACCAAGACTTTGTGATAAGTTAATGTAACCTGACACTGGGATTAATATATTTTAACAGTTACCTGCTGGTGTTTCTCAATCTTTATGATGATTTTGGGGGTTTTAATTTGCATTCTGGGGGTTTGCTTTGCTCAAAAACTGACCTGTGTGAGAATATCCAGCTGTTTAACAATGTGCCGCAGGGTAGAGTCCAGACTGGAGGGAGGAGCGGAGAGAACTTCCAGTGGGTAGGTCTGCCCTCTCTCCTCCTCTTCCTCATCTTCATCCTCCTCTTCATCCTCCTCCTCTCTCCTTCCTCTTCCTCCCCCGTTTCCCCCAGTCCAAACAGAGGCACCACCTGCCAGAGGTGGGAAGTACAAATACTTCGTTACTGTACTTAAGTACATGTTTCTGGTATTAGTACTTTACTCCACTACTTATTTTTCTGACGACTTTTTACTTTGACTTCTTACATTTTGAACTCAAATACCTGTACTTTCTACTTCTTACATTTTGAACACAAATACCTGTACTTTCTACTTCTTACATTTTTAGCACCAACACCTGTACTTTCTACTTCTTACATTTCCCAAACAGGCTGGTTACTTTAGTTTGAATGTGTGTTTGGTGGCGTGATCATTATTATTTAGAGTCATTGCGTGCCTATTGATTTGAACACGATCCGTGTATCCATCATTTCCTGGTCTTCTCTAAAGAAGAGGGACCAATGAAAACGTTGTCATGTTGCCGTTGTTCAGCATGGAAACATTCATTAGCTAACAATGACATTATTGTTCTATTAATATAAAGGGAGGTCAGGTACTCTTTAAAACAGCTGCTAGTTATGGGTACTTTTTACTTAAGTACATTTCAAAGCCCTCTTTACTTTTACTTGAGTAAAGAAGTTTAGTCAGTACTTCTACTTTACCAGAGTATTTTTAAACACAAGTATCTGTTCTTCTACTTGATGAAAGGATGTGTGTACTTTTCGCCCTGCTGGTGCTCTCGTCTCCCGTCCATCCTCCCACTCCTGAACTGGCTCTGTTTCGCGCCGACAAACCGTTGGAGAGGTGACCGTTGGCTGCGGCCTGCGTGGGCGTCAAGTGTGTTCGACCGTTTAAGAGCTGGAGATGAAAGAGAGAGAGAGAGAGAGAGAGAGAGAGAGAGAGAGAGAGAGAGAGAGAGAGAGAGAGAGAGAGAGAGAGAGAGAGAGAGAGAGAGAGAGAGAGAGAGACTGGTGTTCAGCCGATTGATCTTCAGGGCATTGTGCTCTCTCCTGTGTTTGTGAGGGTGTTTTCTTTCTTTAACACGAGTGCTGTGCTCAGCTCTGCCATGAATGATTCTCTCATCAAATGCTTTGTACGGCAGAACCCACACTAAACCAAATCACCATTGTGAGGACAGGCTCCTGAAAACAAAATAATCCCAATAAAAGCCTCAAGTGTCCAGCCTGATTCAACCCTCAAAGCAAAGAGTGAGAGAGGAGTAGGAAAGGTAACATTTGTATACATATTATTTGACTGAAAATGTCAATGAGCTTGAAAACATCATATAAATGGGAAAATGACTGTTAACATGTTAAAGAAAGGCCAACATATTACTTTTCAAATTATGAAATCTCCTGTAGGGATGTATCCTAGTTAGGTTACATGTACTTATCTAACTTTATGATAACTTGCAAGTCTTTTTTAGATATATATTTGATGTATAATACTCAATATATTGCCGTAATCACATGTTACACTTCCTTTTCAATACTCTTTATGTACCCATTTCTGTGCTCCGTGGGAATAATTTGTTTTATAAAATCACACCTTTGAAACAGCTTCAATGTTTAAGTGTAAGCCTTCAAAGAAAGTGAAGGTAGTAGATTCATCTCTCAGACAAATTGAAATCTCAGTCTAAGCATTGGATGAAGTTGAAATTTGAAGCGTAAGTACTAAACAACATTGAAACACAAGTGTATGTATAGCAAGGGCCAACCTTAGATGGATAGATGGATAGATAGATGGATAGATAGATAGATAGATAGATAGATAGATAGATAGATAGATAGATAGATAGATAGATAGATAGATAGATAGATAGATAGATAGATAGATAGATAGATAGATAGATAGATAGATAGATGATAGATAGATGATAGATGATAGATAGATAGATAGATAGATAGATAGATAGATAGATAGATAGATAGATAGATAGATAGATAGATAGATAGATAGATAGATAGATAGATAGATAGATAGATGGATGGATAGATGGATAGATGGATAGATGGATAGATAGATAGATAGATGATAGATGGATAGATAGATAGATAGATAGATGGATAGATAGATAGATGGATAGATGGATAGATAGATAGATACTTTATTTATCCAATTTTCTATCACACTCTGTTAAGTACTTAAAGGGCTGCGTCAAACATGAAAAGTGCTATATAAATAAAGATTATTATTATAATTTATTGGATGGAGATACATTTCAGATCCGAGTCTCATCACTAATAAAACACAATACATGATGAGCCTTTCCATCCAGCGTGCTTTAACGCCCCGTCTGAAATGTACAGGAATCAGAGAATGAATTGGACTTGCTAATGGGAGTTGATGACACTCAATGCTGTGCAGGTTTAACCACCATGCTTCCTGTCTCATTGTTCTGTCCTCCGTGCAGCCTTGAGCGTGTTGTAACTCGACTGAAGCAGGAGGATGACTCACGGCTGGATTACTGACTTACCCACAGACTCTGCACCCGACTGACTAGCTTGCTGGCAAAGGACAAGTTCACAAGGTTTATTAGCACTCTAAGGAGAGCGATAGCCACACCGCGAAATGTACTTTTAAATAAATGTAACCTTTACTTTTAATGGGAGCGGTCGTGACAAAATGATTTCCCTTTTCATGAGCAAAGAAAAGCACATGGTGAGAGAAGGAACAAAGAGAGAGAGAACATTATGTTCAGTGTAACCAGGGACACATTTTCCTCATTTATGCTGGCAGAGACAACTGAGCATGACTTCACATTGAAATGGTTTCACACATGCACAACAGAAGCTTCACAGGAGAGGCACATTTGACTGGTGGCTGCGGAGAGGAGTGTTGTTGCGCAAGGACACCTTCAACAACATCCTGTGATTCAAACTAGCAGCAAAGAGTCATGAGACTTCTGCTGCAACTTTGACGGAGAGCTTTCGATTACTATGACAAGCAAGTCAAAACAAAGAATAATTCATGTATTTCCTTTCTGTGTTAAATATGTTTCTGTGTTAGTATATGCTTTTAGGCGGTGTCCCTTTCCTGTAGTGTGTTATATATGTTATTGTGCATGTAAATGGTCTGCAAAGGCTAACATCGCAAATGTCCATCCCCCTAGTGCTCAAACATATTGTACATGATAGGCTAAGGGGCAGGACATCTCTAAGATGTTGACCAATCACAACAGAGCCGGCCAGCTAACCAATCAGAGGAGACTGGGCTCTGGTTTCAGACAGAGGGTGAAAAAAGGTGCTGCAGCACAGGCAGTATGAGACACTACATACTGATATACACCTGAACATCAGCAGGAGAGGACTCTTTAAAGTAGAGACACTACATACTGATATATACCTGAACATCAGCAGGAGAGGACTCTTTAAAGTAGAGACACTACATACTGATATACACCTGAACATCAGCAGGAGAAGACTCTTTAAAGTAGAGACACTACATACTGATATACACCTGAACATCAGCAGGAGAGGACTCTTTAAAGTAGAGACACTACATACTGATATACACCTGAACATCAGCAGGGGAGGACTCTTTAAAGTAGAGACACTACATACTGATATACACCTGAACATCAGCAGGAGAGGACTCTTTAAAGTAGAGGCACTACATACTGATATACACCTGAACATCAGCAGGAGAGGACTCTTTAAAGTAGAGGCACTACATACTGATATACACCTGAACATCAGCAGGAGAGGACTCTTTAAAGTAAAGACACTACATACTGATATACACCTGAACATCAGCAGGAGAGGACTCTTTAAAGTAGAGACACTACATACTGATATACACCTGAACATCAGCAGGAGAGGACTCTTTAAAGTAGAGACACTACATACTGATATACACCTGAACATCAGCAGGAGAGGACTCTTTAAAGTAGAGACACTACATACTGATATACACCTGAACATCAGCAGGAGAGGACTCTTTAAAGTAGAGACACTACATACTGATATACACCTGAACATCAGCAGGAGAGGACTCTTTAAAGTAGAGACACTACATACTGATATACACCTGAACATCAGCTGGAAAGGACTCTTTAAAGTAGAGACACTACATACTGATATACACCTGAACATCAGCAGGAGAGGACTCTTTAAAGTAGAGACACTACATACTGATATACACCTGAACATCAGCAGGAGAGGACTCTTTAAAGTAGAGACACTACATACTGATATACACCTGAACATCAGCAGGAGAGGACTCTTTAAAGTAGAGACACTACATACTGATATACACCTGAACATCAGCAGGAGAGGACTCTTTAAAGTAGAGACACTACATACTGATATACACCTGAACATCAGCTGGAAAGGACTCTTTAAAGTAGAGACACTACATACTGATATACACCTGAACATCAGCAGGAGAGGACTCTTTAAAGTAGAGACACTACATACTGATATACACCTGAACATCAGCAGGAGAGGACTCTTTAAAGTAGAGACACTACATACTGATATACACCTGAACATCAGCAGGAGAGGACTCTTTAAAGTAGAGACACTACATACTGATATACACCTGAACATCAGCAGGAGAGGACTCTTTAAAGTAGAGACACTACATACTGATATACACCTGAACATCAGCTGGAAAGGACTCTTTAAAGTAGAGACACTACATACTGATATACACCTGAACATCAGCAGGAGAGGACTCTTTAAAGTAGAGACACTACATACTGATATACACCTGAACATCAGCAGGAGAGGACTCTTTAAAGTAGAGACACTACATACTGATATACACCTGAACATCAGCAGGAGAGGACTCTTTAAAGTAGAGACACTACATACTGATATACACCTGAACATCAGCTGGAAAGGACTCTTTAAAGTAGAGACACTACATACTGATATACACCTGAACATCAGCAGGAGAGGACTCTTTAAAGTAGAGACACTACATACTGATATACACCTGAACATCAGCAGGAGAGAACTCTTTAAAGTAGAGACACTACATACTGATATACGCCAGAAAATGAGCTTATGACAAATAAAGCCTTTGAATCCAAACATAATCTAAAAAGTGCTTTTTCTATTGATAAACTGACAGATGAAAGTCAGCTTTTCTATGGCTAGAGAAGATAGAAAATGAGTTCCTACATTTGAAGTTATTAATCTAACTCTTGCATTAGTTTTGTTCCATTTTCAGAAACAGACCACCAATGATTCATTCATCTGTTTATCATTAATTGCATAATTGTGGCTCTTAAATGTCAGACAATGATTACCAAGGGGCAAAGGTGATGTATTGAAATTGCTAGTTTCCTGAACCTAACATAATTGGACCATTTTCTAAAAATAAGAGTACAACATACCTAAATTACATTTTTGAAATGAACAAATCCTTAGTTTGTTTGCATTTTTCCTAGATAAGTGACTCAATGATCAAAGAAAGAAAGATTACAGGGTGTCAAATAAATAATTGATTGATTGATTAATTAAGTCATCATTTAAAAAAGTTCCTAGCTCTCTCTCTGCAACTTCAGATCATCACTCACACACACACACTTTCTCAACAACAGCTATGACCCCTTGAACAGCTGCGCTCAGATCAGTGTCTAGAATCATAAACAAGTGAGAAGTGTTGGGCTTTTGCCTAAAATCATAGTAAGGTCTTGCATAAAAGTTGGTGTTGTTGAGTGCACAAAGAGGAACAGAAGTGGGGAAACAAATGAGGGATGTGTCAGGAGGATGGAGGAGGCAGGAAGAGGAGGAAGATGAGGAAGAGGAGGAGGAGGGAGTCACACATTCCTGCTCTAATGCATGGAGCAATCGATTCAGGCTCGCTTCCTGCACACTGTGTCCTCACTTCAAAGAGAGCGTGGAGGG